CATAAGTTGTTTCAGATAAGCAATCCTAAACATTCCGAAAGCCTCATTAAGCATAAAACCCCAAATTTGTTTTCTTAACTAAAAAGTAAATATATATTTTACTAAACTAGTGGTGTACCCGCGCGATGCAGCGCGGGTAAATGACAATCCAGAAACATTAGTCTGGCCTTGAATCATGAGTTTGTGTGTTATTTTATAAGTCAACAAATATATAAAGTTGAAAGTTAATACGGTGTGTTARCAAGACCCATTTAAAAAAATTGCACATATGTTGGGTTTCTGAACCCATTTACTCATAGCTCATTTGAATCATGTTCATCCGTATATCCAAACTGTTGTTTGTTTTTCGTGATGCACTTATCCGTAAATATTTCATGCAAAAAACAGCGCAATGGTTTTAATAGAAACATATGGTACCAAATGTGTAATAATATAATTGTTGATTATCCAAACTTTAAAACACCGACCACCAATATAAAAGATCGTTTATTAATGTTTATGAGTTGAAAACAACTACTGGGGGATAGGTTTCTCTTACTCGATTCGCAACTCCTCAATGTTTTCTTCAAGTGTTTAACCACTCAAAGATTAAGCTGGTATTAACCAAGTCATCTATTGTTTTTAACGTTTTCATCATATCTCATGAAAGGAAATAAAGACATGATAGTGGGTTTCATTCCTTGATACAAGTAGATTGGGATCAGACCAATAAGATACATTTTAATCTAAAATACATTTTAATCATACAAATAAGATGAATGATCAAGAACAGAACTTACCCATGTAGAATGCCATAACCCTTTAAGAGATCYGAGTCCAAAATTAAAAGGTTGGAAACAGCAAACTACTCAACAGCCATGTCTTTGAGCCTAAAATGCATGATAACAATATCACATATCAAATCCTCATAGAAACTACAAAACATGAACCAAGTATGAAAAAATCATGAATTACACGCTCATCTTGGTTCTTTTGAATACGTGAGTCAGGAAGATGAAGATTCAG